AACGAATCTCTACTGCGCAGACTCTGGCTCCAAACTAATCTCTACTGCGCAGACTCTGGCTCCAAACTAATCTCTACTGCGCAGACTCTGGCTCCAAACTAATCTCTACTGCGCAGACTCTGGCTCCAAACTAATCTCTACTGCGCAGACTCTGGCTCCAAACTAATCTCTACTGCGCAGACTCTGGCTCCAAATGACGTCATTTACTCAAGATGGCAGCAGCCATACTCAGATGCTTTGGCTTCACTTTTCTATAGTGGAAGGGATAGGAGACGCGTTGTCCATCTTTTTTTACAGCCTATGTTCTGAATTCAATGTAAACCACGCTGCCAAGGTTACAATGCTTCACGGGGCTCATTGCTTTTATAAAATGGTTAGCCTGCACTTAAGCCCACACATTGTGTCAAAATTCAATAAAATCTGACATTTTGAAAATTTCTTTGCTCTGCCAAGTAACACACAGACACAATAATACTGATATAATGATGTCACAGGTGTATGTTTCTAGAGTAAAGGCTGGAATACATCACAACTTTTGCCCCGATTTACAGTCTGAACAAGTTGTCACTAATTGCCGAAAGTCAGAGCCAGTCTGCTGATTTGAGTTTACAGATTCCACAGAAAACCGTGTAGTGTATGATGGTCACAGACTCTCATTTTTTAGCATTTAGACTATGATTCCATCCAGTCGCAGGAGATCAAACATCAGACCTCTGCAGGCTTCCTGTTAATACGACCACGTATTGTGCACGTTTTTTTAACAGAGAACATATGAAATTCAGCTGTCGCAATTTTTTTTAACCAGGAAAGGAGTGGTTTTGATGCACAAAATTGTTTTTATTGTCTCAAAAAATATATTTTATTTGAACCCATGAAGGCATATCCTGTTGTAAATAATAATAAAATCACTTTTTAAAACGGCTGTTCCATTATAGCAGATTTTGACTTACATAATATATAAGATTTTAGTCATATGTTTACACCTATTTACACAAAATAATTTAAAATGAGCAAAAAGTCTGAGATGAATAAATCAAGAGGAAAAAAACAGTAAAAACTGTAAAGAATCACTACAGTGAATCAATATACTGACACTGAGAGCTCTAGCAGCTTCCACTCACTTACCCAAGTTATAGAGAAGACTCAGTGCCTGAAACTCCTCTTGATGCTGGTGCTTCCCATCTCTGTAGCTCTCCAGCAACCAGCTCAAGCATTCCTGCAGGTGAGTGTCATTGATGCGTGGGTCAAAATACTGAAGTTGCTGCCCGCAGAGTCTGTAGGAGGCGTAGAGAAGGAAACACACGCTTTTCTCCAGCACGGCCACACAGTCCGGCCCCGACACACGCTGGATAATCATGTCCTGCCGAACACTACGCAGACGGTCAAACACAAAACTGTAGACCTGTGGGTCATAAACAACACAGGATTGAAATGGCCATCATATTACAGATAAAGGAATGACAAGATGCCATTTCCATACCTCCGCCCACGGCTGAAATGTAGAGGAAGCTGCAATGTCATCGACTAGGTGACACACAGTCTTTAAAAGCACAGATGGAGGTCGAAGGTCGCTGGCTCTCGTGGAGTCTTTCCCCGCTGCAGGTCTCGAAAACTCTTTGACGGCACGTGAGACATCAGCACGTGGCAAACGATCCCGCTCTGTGTCGGCCACCATCTCAAACCTGTGCAGACGATTCTGTGCTTCCCGCTGGCGTAATTCATAAGCAGGACACATAGTCATACAGGTGCCATGAGGCACTGAGTCTTCAGCGTTCTGCTCCTCCACCCGTTCCCTGGTCACTCGACCCTGTTCCTTATGCCTGTGTCCTCGGCCCCTCCTAGAGTGATGCCACCTGAACATTAAACAAGACAGAAAACATACTAAGAACTTATACTGGTCAAAAGTTTGGAATAATTAAGTTTTTATTTTTTATGTTTTTGAAATAAGTCACTGATTCTCACCAAAGCTGTATTTATTTGATCAAAAAACAGAAAAAACAATAATATTGTGTAATACTATTACAATTTAAAACAACTGTTTTCTATTTTAATTTATTGTAAAACGTAACTTATTCATGTGATGTAAAGCTGTATTTTCAGCATCATTACTCCAGTCTTCAGTGTCACATGATCCTTCAGAAATTATTCTAATATATGCTGATTGGCTGGTCAAGAAACATCTCTTATTATTATCAATGTTGAAAACAGTTTTTGCTGCTTAATGTTTTTGTGATACACTAGCATCCGGGGTATATAAGATTTAAATTAATACTTTTATTCAGCAAGGATGCATTAAATTGATCAAAAGATTTCTACTCCAATGAATGCTGTTCTTTTTGAACTTTCTATTCATAAAAGAATCCTGAAAAAACAACTTGGTTTTCACAAAAATATTAAGCAGCACAACTCTTTTCAACATTGATAATAAAAAGAACCTCAGGCATCAATAATAATTGATAAAAACTGCAGCAAATTATTAAAGTATTAGCTGCTCAAAATTCAGCCTTGCGTCACAGGAATAAATTAAATTTTAAAATAAATTAAAATAGAAAACACCTACTTAAAATTGTAATATTTAACAGTATAAACTTTTTTTTCTTTTAAAAAGTGTCCTTGGTAAACACAAGAGACTTTTATATATATATATATATATATATATATATATATATATAATTATTCTAAACTTTTGACATGTGTTGTGTGTGAGAGAGAGTATATTTCATCTCTAGTTTTTAGTGTTGCAGAGGTCTGCAAGATGCTCACTGCATTCTTTCTCTTTGCTGACAATGACTGAAAATTAATTATTTCCAAACTACATCGCCAAAACACATTTTATTCATTAACAATCTGACATGTGCATGCAGTAACCTGCTAGTTGTATGTGCTGCTTTATACTGTAATGGCATTAGCTTTGTCACAACGAACGAAGTCTGTTTCTGTCTGTGGAGACTCTTTGTATCAAATGGTTAACAGTTAAGCTTTTTGATCGGCATCTATATATAATGTGTTCATCAAAATAAAAACAAGCTTTAGGGAGACTCACGCGCTGCTCATGGCTGTTTTGTTCATTGGTCGGGTCGAGAGCAACTCCTCAGTAGTCACTTGCCGTAAAGACAGCTCCGATTGGTCGCCTGTTGTCATACAATTGTACGTCATATCCGATCATTTATTATGCTTGAAACATACAAAAAAAAAAAAAAGCACAAAATAAAAGTATTTCAGATTCGCGTTAAAAACACAGATTTTTTTTTATGAGCATGAAATAAACTGTGCAATATTACAGGAAAACTATCAAAAAAATAAATTTAAACAGGGGACATAGATTTTATTATGGTTACTTTTGTAGGAAAAGTGGATTGCATATCTGACCATTAAAAGCAACCAGAGTAATTTACTTTATCAGTTCAAGTCACAAGTCAGTTCAGTTAGCAGTAATTAATGTTAGGTGTAAAGGACTTTAAAGTTATTAATAAAATAAAAGTATGGTATCTCATATTTCTCTATCTACATACATACATACATACTGTTTAGGCTGTTGATCTCAGTTTTGAAAAAATTTAGACCATAAAAAGAATTCAAAAGAAAACATTTCTTAACTAAAAAGTGTTATTAAGTTATAATACACATATGAATCAATATGCTTTAAAAAAAAAAAAAAAACACTCCACCAGTCTGAACGCATGACTGACAAATTCCCTTAATGAAACATACAAAAAAAAAAAAAAGCACAAAATAAAAGTATTTCAGATTCGCGTTAAAAACACAGATTTTTTTTTATGAGCATGAAATAAACTGTGCAATATTACAGGAAAACTATCAAAAAAATAAATTTAAACAGGGGACATAGATTTTATTATGGTTACTTTTGTAGGAAAAGTGGATTGCATATCTGACCATTAAAAGCAACCAGAGTAATTTACTTTATCAGTTCAAGTCACAAGTCAGTTCAGTTAGCAGTAATTAATGTTAGGTGTAAAGGACTTTAAAGTTATTAATAAAATAAAAGTATGGTATCTCATATTTCTCTATCTACATACATACATACATACTGTTTAGGCTGTTGATCTCAGTTTTGAAAAAATTTAGACCATAAAAAGAATTCAAAAGAAAACATTTCTTAACTAAAAAGTGTTATTAAGTTATAATACACATATGAATCAATATGCTTTAAAAAAAAAAAAAAAACACTCCACCAGTCTGATTAAACGCATGACAAATTCCCTTAATCATTCTGTAGCAATGTATGAAATAAATACCTACAATTCATTGATTTTTATTTAATTGTAAACAGATGTGATATTTATACAATGTATAATCATGACGTGGAGGGACAGAAGAGTGTCTGGGCTGTGCTCGGTCCGATCTTGTCTTCCTCCAGTGACTGCTGGATCAAAACCGTCTCCCGGCTTTCTAATGAAGACACCTCCAGAAGATCCGAAAAAGTCCTAAAATGAAAATAAAACCAAACAAAGACAGAATCAGTTAAAGTTTAAATAAAGAATGGCACAGAGAAAATATCAAGCTCTGTAAGGTGCGAGTCTTTCATATATGGAGTCTGAAGTGCTCCTACCACAGCACAACTTTATCTAGAAAATATAATCAACATATTAAGCAAACAGGTCTGGTGAAAAAATCCTTTTACTCCAGACTACGAGTACCACACCTTTAATGACGGAGACATCAAAATCTGGACGTATGCAGTGACCATCCAAAACAGTCGACTGGAAGACATTTCCTCCCACATTTGAGGATTCCAGAATGCTGCTGACCACTGTGGGAAAACATTACATGCTCAATAGCACTTTCACCAGTCATCATGTAAGGAATATTAACTTATCTAATAAAGCAATACTCATTCTGCACCCTAGATCCAAGAAATGCAAAAGTGAATATTTAATCTGACATATCTATAGTCTAGCCAAACACTCACAGGCAGAGTCATTGTCTGTCAGAGAGCTCATTGTACGTCTCGACGGTACGCTCTCCCTCGGCTTTCGCGGGTTGCTTACTCTGGGAGAGGACGGTCTGGGTGGCATCAGCATCGACTGCTGCTGTACGCTGCTCTACAGAACACACCATATAAAACATCAACCCTCACATTCATATCAAATGCCACAGAGAAAGAAACACAGCAGCACAGATGTTGAAACTATGGAGACGTCACATACAGTTTCTTCCCATTATTTTGCTGTCAGTTACCTTTGCAGGAGCCTTTGTTTCAGTCTGCATGTACCTAGAATTCACAATTGTGCCCGACGCTAGAAATCAGTAAGATCAGACAAAACTGTTAGTAAAACAACAATGAGTTTTGACACTGAATGAAAGGAGGATGCAAGTCATGCTCTCACCTTTGGTTTTCCTCCTTGCACCGCTGTTATTTCCGCTGCTGGCTTCATTTTCAGTGGATAAACTAAAAAAAGAGAAGCTGTCTGAATATCCGCATACATAAAACTAAGAGTAAATTAATATAAAAAAGAATGAGTTAAATGACAACTTGATACTATTTTGTGATGTCTAAATGAGTTACATTTGGACTTTGAACCACTTTAACTTAAGTAACAGATGCAGATATTTCATGACTTTTAGTTGTTAGTAGAAGGCGTAATAATGTCAATGTCAAATACATAAATTACTTTACTTTTCACGGTGTTTAATGTTTAAAGCAAGTCAGGTTGGTTTATTCATTGTCATTTCCGAACTATGTCGCCTGGGTCACGGTGAGGAAATATTTTAACATACATTTAAATAAATACATTTTAAATATTCAACTTTACAAGACCAACATTAGCACAAGTGTTTTCACAAGAGGTAATAAATATAATACTTTACAGAAAACAATGTAAAAATAAGTGAGTCAGACTGCTGTTTACATTGTACAAGCAACACGTTATATATAAACAATGAACTTAAATGAATTAAAGAATTAAACTTTAAACTAAAATGTGAAATCTTACTTTTTTGAGTCACTCGAAGCTGTTTTCTCCACTTTACGTATGTTTAACGGCTTTTTGGATGCCATTACATTACACAGACCCAAACCGATATGAGGACTGTTATGATGTTGTTGTTTTTTTACCGCGTTTTGCTGATTTTCTTCCTCTGTGTTTGATGCGCTAACATGAGTTGCGTTTAGCGCCACCTGTCAGACTGGAGTGTAACTGAAAGAAATAAAGTAATCCAACCTGCGAATAGTTTCACAATTTTCCTGTACATTGCCAAATTACGTTTTTTTTTTCATTGCGATGAATCACTTAGGAGTAATTGACTTCCTGTTTTAAATACATTTTATTATAAAAAGCCGAAAAAGCCGCAGTTTTGACGTAATAAATATGTAGCTTTAATATATAGGTCACAGAATCATATGCACATGCTCTTAGTGAAATGTTACGTCATTTGTATGCCAGATAAATTATACAATAAAAAAACTTTTTATTGGAACAATTTCGTTTTAAACGATTTACATGATAAACTAAATAATTCTTAGTTAAAAGTTAAACACAAAGCCCAAACAAAAAAATGCACAAAATTATATATAAATATATTAAGAAGAAATATATTTTAAGAAAGCATTTAAAATGTTTTCTCCTGTCAATCAGTTGTCAAGCGAGTGTCCGCCCACTTCTAATGGTCAGTGATTAACTCCCATCCATGTTTACACCGCTCCGTCTCTTTATTTGCACATGAAAATAATTTATCCAGCAGCATGAAGAGCTGATCAGATTTGGTTTAGAGGTCTGTAACTCGCGTAAGTGAAGATATCCATGTGTTTCATATGTTTCTTCATCCCTTTGGAGTTGAAATGTTAGGATTAGCCATAGTTAGCAAGAAAAGTTGGCTGAGTTAGCTCAAACTCTGCGCCTGCGTCTTTTTAGTGCTGCTTATCAGAGAGTTGATGGATTTAAGAGATGAATTTGTTTAATTATTGTCCATTTTCTTATATTTGAAATATTTGAAAGCGCTGCTGCTTCAGCTCGACGTTATTAGCAAGCACCTAGCAAAGCTAAAACTCCGAGACGCTCCCACTTTGATGGATGTTTTCAAAAGTTTCTTCATGTGTAAATAATGAATGATGATGACTATAGTTTGGTTATGGGAATTATTAGGAGAACTTCAAATTTGAGCATGAAATTTGCTGTATGTTAAGTGTTAATGAAACTGTGCATTATGTATGTGCTCTAAACTTTAGTGATAAATATTTGTTATGGCATCTGCTTTTACTCCGATTTCTTCCATGGAAATTGCAGAAATCCTATGCTGTTGTGAGGCAATTTTCACCAAACCCCTCGATAAATAATAAATATGTATGTGACGGATCAGTTTCGCTGCTCTCTCGTTTCACAACTCAATGAAAGTTCATGAGAGGTTTGAAGTTTCAGTGTTTCCATTACCGACTCACTCAGTAAGCTTGTTTGACACATTTGCTAATCAGTAGTTTTACCGGATCTGCCATAAGTAATGTCATGATTTGAACGCATATTGTTGTATTCGGGAATGCTTCTCAAGGTGGTGTTGGGATCATGTGTTTTTTGTGCTCTTCAGGGTTGGAGAAAAGCTGGGATGGCCTCTAAACTATTCGACAGACTTCGCCGTACACTGTTCAAAGAAGGGGAGCTTCCTTCGGAGACGGACGGTCACGGAGCAGATGACTTTCCAGAAAGTTCTGAGCTTGAGGACGACACAGACTGCGTGTCGGCCAGACTCGGAGGAACCCTGTGCTTTGAAGGTGAAGGGGTCCTGGACTCTGAGGATGCAGGAGACGCATCGGGGCCAGACAGCGACTCTGACTTCTTTGGAGAGTCCATAGATAATGCATGTAGCAGCACAGGTAGTCATCAATAACACGTGTTTTTTTTCAAAGCCGGAGTTGTAAGGTATATTCTATATAGATGAGTAGAATAGATGAATTTGAAGGTGAACTGAAGTCCAGGATTCACATTCAGAAGCTGTTAAAGGGATAGTTCACCCTAAAATGAAAATTCATTTACTCACCCATGTGTTGCTCCAAAAGTTATATTATTGTTCAAAAGTTTAGGATTTAATTCAGATTTTGTAATGTTTTTAAAGAAGCCTTTTATGCTTACCAAGACTGCATTTATTTGATTAAAAATACAGTAAAAACATAAATGTTGTGAAATATTGGTACAGTTTAAATAGCATTTTTTTGTGTTAATATGTTTTAATAAGTAATTTATTCCTGTGATGCAAAGCTGTATTTTCAGCATCATTGCTCCAGTCTTCAGTGTCACATGATCCTTCAGAAATCATTCTAATAGGCTGATTTCATGCTCAAGAAAGATTTATTATTATTATCATAAATGTGGAAATTATATAACTTTATTTTCAGGATTCTTTGATGAATAGAAAATTTAAAACGAAAAACAGCATTTATTTAAAATAGAAATCTTCTGTAACATCTTTACTGTCACTTTTGATCGGTTTAATGCTTCCCAGCTGCATAAAACGAATGTTTATACAATCTTACTGACTCCAAACTTTCAGCTTTACAGTAGTGTATGCTATTATTATTATTGATCGGAGCTGTCAAGCTCCAAAAAAAGACCAAAAAAACCCCACCATAAAATTAGTCCGTTTGACACATAGCAAATGTTCTGAAGTCATACGATAAGGAATAGATTCAAATTTGGGACATCATCTCAGCACTTGCAGTTCTTGAATCACTTTCTCCATTCTGTGCATTCAAATTGATGTGTGGCCAAACAATCTGGAAAGCAGTGTTTTTTGGTGTCAATTATGTAAAATCTGTCAGCTGTGGTCATTGTGAACTGCCATTGTATGGAAAAGAGTTCATATGGAAAAAATACTTCTTTTAAAAACAGCATGTGGTTTGGAACAAGCTCTTCCTTTAAGCGCACTCTGAACATGTTGGATATGGTTCTTGTGAATTTACAATAATGTGTTTGTAGGCAGATTTCACTTCTTCTTTTTTTTAGTTCACTTGATGCTTCACAGTTGCAGTTAATCTTGTCTTTGGTTTATAGAGACCAGCCCTATAGGGCCTTCCCCAAAAACCTCAAACATGATCACCAGACAACTACAAGAAAACTGGCAGAGCTCAAGAACTCGTTGCATTCCTGAAAAACTCATTTTTGAGGTGACTGATGCCAGTGTTGTCCATGAAACTAATTCCAAGTATGTGGTAAGTACACTAACCCCAACTGTGAACCATTTCAGTCAAGTTTCAAGAACCATTTTTCAGTCGGCCAGTTTTTTTTTT